ATGTTTATTTGGAAAAGATATATATTATGAAAATAATTTCTGGAAATTTAATATATATATATTATTTTCCCTGGAAAATTATGGTTGTGGAAATATATATATATATATATGTACTTTAAAAATTAAAGGTAATTATATTTTGTGTTGGAAAATATTATTATATATATTTAGAAAAAGATAAATATTATATATATTTTCTGGAAATTATAAATACATTATTATTTTTCTGAGAAATTATGGTGATTATATTTTGGGAAAAGTATAATTAATTTATGAAAATATTTTGAAAAGAATTTTAATTAAAGTATGTACCGAAATGATATTCGGATATACGTATGGTATAATATTTTCGGTAAAAGTTGATAATAAAGGATATGAACCGGGATGGGATTATTTCGCAGTTTTGGCATCATAGCTTACCGATTATGTGCATTTATGTGTATATATTGTTTTGTTGTATAGGTTCGGATATCGGGCAGTTTCCCGAGGAGCCGGCTTGGGACCGGTCATTGTCTTCCGAGTTGAGTAATCGGCCAAGGTGAGGATGGATTTCCTTTGATATGTACCTATATTACTCGGTTGTTGTGTTTGATGATTGTTGCACTGTTGAGTGTTGCATTTGCTGTGGTTTGATTCGGGATGTTTATCCTAGTGCCTTGATTGATTTTGGGATGTTTATCCCCATGATTTGATTTTGGGATGTTTATCCCTGAGCATTGAGTTTTGGAATGTTTATCCCTGTGTCTTTTGGGTATAAAGTATAACGGAATAAATAATAAATGTGATAAGGATGTCGATCCTTGGTATTGGATAGGGATGTCTATCCCGGTATTTTGGTTAGGGATGTTGATCCCTGTGATTTGATTTTGATGATGATAATATAATTGTCACGTGGTAAGTAGTGGTACGACTCGATAGTTTAAGACTGTTTCGTGGTGGCCTTGACCTGGGTTACTTGTGATAAGCATGTCTATGCTTGGGATGTCTATCCCGTGATTATTTTTGGGATGTCTATCCTTGGGTTCGTATTTTTGGGATGTCGATCCCTGGGTTCTCTTGGATTTGGTCTGGCACCCGGAATATGTTGATAACCAGGTCTGACCCCTAGCTTATTCGTGACAGGGTCTGAAAAGATAAAATTGGAAATTGGAATTTTATTTGAGTCTTTTTGGTCTTGGACCGGTTTTGGGTCGAGTCTTTTGGTTTGGTGTATTTTGGCGGTTTTTCCTTGTTTTTGATCTTGAGTAATCATAGTGTTGCATATTGATTGTCTATCCTTTGTCGGTGAGCACTTCAGACTCACCCCTCACCTGCGGGCTTTCATCCCGTAGGATGGATTATTTGTGATACAGGTTTGGTGCATTCCAGACAGGCTGCGGCGTTATCCCTTGGACAGGGCTCGGATCCATAGTTTGCATCAGTGTCGCATACAGTGTTTTGTGAGTTATTAAGTCTTCCGCTGTGCATTATTTTTGTTATTGTTGGGCCTTGGGCCGGCCGTGATATTTTGCTATTGTTGGGCTGAGGGGCCAGATTTATGAGATTTATATTTTGGGCTTTTGAGCCAGTTTTCTATTGTTTACATTGTATGCTGGGCTTAGTTTGGTTGGGTCGTCACAGTTCCGGCACGTGTTTACTGTGTACGGTAAATACGGGTCGGGGCGTTTCAGTTATTATTAATTAACTTAATTAACCGTTTAATTTAATCGTCGTTAAAGTCCGAGTCCGTTTAGTATCATTCGGGTTCGATTTATGATGCATAAGGGTCCAAGGCTCGGGTTTTACCCAAAGTTCAATTTCCGGGCTCGCCGAAAAATTCCCAAGACACTGAAAACTCGCCGGAATCCGGCGGTTACTGTTCACGCAGTCCAAAAACTTCACTTCTCTGCTACTGTTCATGCTTACTCCAACCATCAACAACACCAAAACGACAACCAACACATAGTTCATCATCAACATATCATTCCCGAGAGCAGCATCTCCACTGCCTTTTGAAGCTTGCCGTAATCAACATCACAACAACTACCATCGCCCATCCCCATCATCAACCCGTCACCGATCCAACGATTCAAGCAAAGATGCGATTAGTCATCTCTCAAAGAAGGTGAAGACGGAAGGGAAAGGAAGGGGAAAACGCAGGGCGATGGCTTACCCTCATGAGGAGATCGGCGGTTGTGAAGAAAGGAAGAGAGGGAGAAGATGTGGGTCAGCGTCTCGTCTCGGCGTGGTGGTGGCAATCCAAGGCGGCACTCACGAGCACAGAGGAGAAGAGAGGCCTCGATTGCTGCAGCGGTGCCACTGGGTGCGACCGTCCACTGGTGGCAGAGGAACGGCGGCGAGGAGGTTGCAGGGGCGGCTGCGAGCAGCAGCGGTCGGCGCTACACGAGGCTGAGGCAACGAGGAAGAAGAGACAGCAGCGACGGCTTTGGGTGGAAGCAACAGATCGGGAACGGCAGGGGCGACAGATCGAGGGAATCAAGACGAGGAGAGGAGCCGGAAGAGAGAAGGAGCAAGTGACCCTACTCCTTGGTTGTCCCGCCCCGGCGACCACTACCAGAGGCGGGAATGGGTGGAGGAAAATGAAGAAGGAACAGATGGAGGTCAGCTGGTGGCGGTCGGGTCAGTGGTTCACGGGTGGTTGGTGGTGGCTCGGTGGAGAGGAGGAAAGAGGGCAGAGGAAGGGGATGGGTGTAAGAAAATCGGGAGAGGAGAAGAGAAGATAAAGAGGAGGAAGGAGGAAGGAGACAAGGATGACACAGGGAAGAAGAGTCACGAGAAAGAGAGGCAGGAGAAAATGATGCGAAAGGAACAAGAAGAAAAAAGGAAGGGGCCGGCGTGTGGAAAAATAGGGGTGAAAAGAAAGAAAAAGAAATAGAGGTGGGGGTAGGGCGGCGGAAGAAAAACCAGGAGAGAGGGGAAAAAGAAAGAAAAGAAAAGAGAAAATAAAGGAAAGGAAAGAAAAGGAAATAAGAGTGGCCACGTGGCAAGCCACGGTTGGCCGGTCCAGATTTTTATGTCTGAATAACGGAATCGCAGGGGTACTCTCGTCTTTCCGTCCCGAGTCCGAAAATACAACTTAAGCTCGGAAAATCCGATTGATGCCCCTAAGCGTTGTCCTAGTCTTGGAATTGAAAACCGAGGCTCGGTTAGTTGTAAAGGAGGCTCGAAAATCCAGAGTAACCTTCAGAATTAAATTCTGAGGCTCGGTTATTCCCGAAAAAACCCTCGGTAAAACTCGGTCCGATAGAATTCATAGAATTACGACATTTAAATTTCTTTTTAAATTATAATTAGTAATATATGTGTAACTTACATATCCGGCCAAAATATTTGTAAGTGTTTTATTATTTTTGTTAATTTGGAAAATAATAATAATAATGGTAACAACAATAACAATAATAATAGTAATTTTGAGTATAGTAAAAATAATAGTGAAAATAATGAAAATTAACTCGGATCGGTAAAATTCTTGATTAACCGCGATAAAATTTTATTAACCACCGCAAAAGTCAAAACAGCTTGGTAAAAATCACGAAAATTTTACCCGGGTCGTTACATTGTTATCTCTATACTAAAAATAATTCTTTTGTATTTGAATAAAATAAAAAAAAATTTTATAAATTAATTACTATACCAGATCCATTTTTATTATTATTAAATTATTGTTTGATTATGGGAAGTTTATGCAAACCATCATTACACCATTGGTTTTCTCTATAGAGTTCTTCTCTGAACTACCATGACCATCATTATCTAATTGGTTTTCTCTATAGAGTTCTTCTCTCTATATCATTATATCATTAAAAGACCACCAACTTTCCCAATTGAGGTTGATTCAAGTGGTACGAGACTGGTTCCGCTTAAGCGAGGTCTCAGGTTCGAGTCCTCGTGTACGCAAAAAACCTCATTTGGGAGACTCACCCACTATTACCTAGATGTGTCACCTGAGTCGAGCTGAATTTAGTCTGGTACCTTTGATGTCCTCCAGTGGGAAGCCAAGAAAAAAAACCACCGACTTTCGATAAGACGGGCTTGGTTGTTTTGGGTTTCGGATTTATAGGTTATCATTTACTTCATTACAATTCTAAAATCCAATCCAGCCCGGCAGGGCCTTAGGATTTTGTGATTGGACCAGACCAATTTGGTTTGCGAGTCTCCTTGGGCTTGGTTGCGGGCTATATATGGGCCCATCAAGCACAAATAGCTTTCTTCTAGTTTAGTGGCATACTAGCATGATTGATTTTTTTTTTCCAAGGTTCCAAAACTTAGTGGTAAGTGGTAACAGATGGTAGATTTAGCATTCCTTATCTAAGATTAGTGTTAAAACTCTTCTGATGTTGGATCTTGCTAACATCAGTTTCAAGATAAGGATTAATTGAGCTAGCTTGGCCGGCCCAACTGCATTTGAAGAAACTGCCTAGCTTGTTGCGTGTACTTAACTTTGTTGCATTTGCTTTACAGGAAAATAATTATCATTATCATTAAATAAGAAGGAGCATCACCAAATACGAGTCCTTTTTGTCCTTACTTAGGGACGGGAAAACACAATTCCTTTTGGGATATCTTTAGTTTTTCCAGGCAGCTCTTCTTTGCACAGTTGGTTTTACCTGGCAGAATAATTATGCTTCCAAAAATATTCAATTCCCGGAAGGCAAGTCGAACAAAGTATGCCCATGTTCCCAAATATGAGTTAATACATGAATGTAACTTTGTCACATATGTCACACAGAAGGGGAAGCTAATGATGGATCAAGTCGTAAGTTCTTACTCGTATGTTCATCAACCAGAAACATTTGTCTGATTGATATATTGCAGTATATTAAAAACAATTGACCCATGTCCGACAAGACACAGAGCCAGTTCAACCAAACCAGTCAATTTTTAAGGCCACTGATATTACCAAGTTCCAACAATTCCGTTTCAATAGAGTTTAGCATTACACAAATGCTGGCAATTAACAGTTACCAAGCACCAGCAGCACCTAGAGGGTGGACTTCACTTTAGACAAGAGGAGGGTATTGCTTGGCTTGCAGGCGAACCCTTTTCTTGTATTCTGCAGCATCCTGAATCAATTCAAGTCTATACAGATTAGAACATGAACAATGACAAGTTTCAGAGAGAAAAGCCAGAGTCCATACTTGGCTGATTTCTTCATAAAACTCAAAGACATATTTGACCTCTGAACATCTCCACAAACACAGTAATACAAGGGCCGCTTACTAGGACATTTAAAGCATATGAACCATCTTTTTTCACCCAAGTTCATGTAATTTTATAATCAGTATTAAGAAACCATAATCAATACTACCAAAAGTGATATAAGCAAGCCGCAGTCAGAAAAAGCTTTCCCAGCGATTCATACATCATCCACATACATCTTTTGGCATGGAGCCTCTTCCCAATGTTTCAGTTAAATTGAACTTTTAGGGTTTTATCATGTTGCTTCTTTAGGGGGCAACAGTCTTCCATATGCTAACAAATACTCTCCAATCAATTTAATACCCAAAGAGATAGCATAAAAATTTTCCAAGGTCACATACCTGAATAAAAAGATGATAACCCTCAGTTTGTGCTGGATCAGCAGGATTTGGCTGGTCCAGCAAGTCCTGGATGCCAACAAGAATTTGCTTCACTGTGATGGCTGGTCTCCACCCCTACATCACAGGGATGCTCAGTAGTACCAAGGAAAATTCACACCACAATCCTCAAAAGTAGAAAAACATACATGATATGCAAACCAAGGTTACTTACACTGTCCTCATTAAGGATTGACAGGCAAACAGTTCCAGAAGGGTAGACATTGGGGTGGAAGAAACCTTGCGGAAATTTGCATTTGGGTGGTTTACTTGGATAATCTTCACTAAAGTGCAGAGTAAGCGGAAAGTAACCACCCTCCCAATCAGTCTACAAAAATGATAATAATGGATCAATAAATTATGCAGTCAATCCTATCCAAGTTTTGCAAGTAAACATGGAAGCAGGTAAAGTTTAATAAAAGGTTTACATATCTTCATGGTCAACTAATCATTCCTCCTGATTACTTAAAACCTTCACAAAGGCATAAAGAGGCATCATGAAATACAAACTATACATGCCAAAGAGCGATTAAGTTCACCGTAGGCTCACCGAAAATATAAATAATATGATGAATACATAATACACTGCAAGCCACAAATAATTACAAGTAAAACAATCAGAAGGATAACCCATGGTTTAATCTCAACTTTCCTATAAACAAGAATTTCCTGAAGTGCAACAAGGAAATACAACTATAGCAGAAAAATGAATCTTACAACTGTCATGCTTTACTCTTTAAAAAATGCAAAGCATAAGATAATTAAAGAGCATGAAAATTACAAAATCAATTGACATTTCACAAAGGATAAACGTTTGAACCAGAACTTCCAACTTTATTTCAGACAACTAAAACATAGTTGGTGCGAAAGAATCAAACATTCCCTGGGAAAAATGTGACGCTAAGATGCCCTCCAAAGTTATAAATCAGCTGTAAAACTCATTGGACAATTCAAAAACAAACGAGCTGTATAATCTTCAAATTGAAGTCATTAGCAGTTTAGTACAACTTCCAATCCACAAAAATAATCAAGCCAATACCGGTCATGTAATATGTCAAACAAATAGAAATAGTGTTGATCATCTACTGTACCACAATCAAAGTCAAAATATAGCATCATGAAGACTCAGGCAACATGAATACATAATATATAGCTAATCCAGGCTTGTCTTGCTTAGGCATAAAGGTGTTCAAAACATATCAGAGACCTGAAACAGAATGGATTGAACCTAAAGAATAAAAAAGCAGGAAATTAAAAAAAAAAAAAAGAGTACACGGCCAAACACCTGTAGGTAGCCATAACAGAGTCCAACCAATTTAGACACTGACAAAGACCTTTCACAAGAAGAATTGAAATGAGCAGGAACAAGGATGGAAAGAGAATAATAAACAAGAACAGCATAACCTAAAGTAGAAAATAAGTGACTGAATATACAGGAAGTGTTCTTGCATATCTACAAGAAAAAAGTATAAATTGAATAGACAAACTACCTATTTTTCTAGGGGAAAAGTTTTATGTACAAAGAAAAAAATACCGCAAAATCAAAGTATGGAAGGGCAAAGAATGACAGAACAGAAACTCCCTAAGCTACCCAAGTGTGTGCAAATTTGGTCTCTGAGGGAGCTAAATGACCCTACAAATGTGTCATCCACAAAGCAAAAGCAATAAAGATAATGAACCTCATTGTTAATATTCACAGTTGCTAGGGAGAAGAACAAAAGAATAACCTATGGAGCAAATGCTCCATGCTTGAACCTAAACTTAAACATGGTGAAAAAAAATTACATGCCATACAGATACCATGTTGGTTCCAGATGAAATGTAGCATGCAAATCAGCAATAAAATTTCAAGTCCAACAAAGGAAACATGATTGTAACCTCTAAGGCCTATAATTGTTCTTGTTTTTACTTCTTGGTGACCAAAGAGAAGAACTGAAGCCCATCAATAGATAGTGTCTACTGTGCCCAATTACTTCACCGAGAAGCAAAAAACCATCAAAGAGACAACTTATTACAAGTAACTAGTTCGATCAAATTCCTGATACACTACAATACTCCCAACACAGCCAATGGAATTCCCATCTCCTCTACTCAGCATTCCTCATATCACCAACGCAATCCAGAATGATCTTCCCATGCATAAAATCCGATGTAGAGACAGAACTCGGAATGAACAACAACAGTCTAACATTAAAACTGAAGGCAGTGCCTTTCACCAAATACATACTGAATTATATAACACGGCCCTAAGAACCATCAAAATGTGTAAAGAAGCAAACCAACCTGTTCTCAAAAAGAAAATAAAAGCAAGAATAACAAACCCAATAATCTATCACACAAAAGAACAGATAGAAGAGTTCTAACACTTGAGACACAGTCAAGTTCATAATTGAGGCAGTAATACTTACACCAGCTTTTCCAGGGATAGTGCAATGCCACACCATCAAATTCACCGTCCCATCAGCTAACGTCTCTGGTTTTGCCACAAAACCCTAAATTGACCGAAACCCACAATCAAAAAGAGAAAACCACCACAAAACTATAAACACACACACAGAAACCGAAATTAAAAAAAAAAAAAAACAAAGGCATAAAACAAACGATACAGCGAAAATCCAAAACAACAAACAGAAAAACAACACAGACCCAGAAGAAACGAGACACCGACACACACACACATGCACACACAAATAGAGAGAAAGTGACAGTAAGAATAACGCACATGAGGGTGGTTCTTCCGCCAAGCCTTACGCTCCTCGGCGAGCCGACCACGCGCGATGCCTCCCGACATTGCTCGATTCCACTCTGCGTCTACCGCTTCACTGTCCTTGTGTTGATCCCTAGGAGGTAGGGGGCGCTGTTTTCTCTCGCTTTTGATTTTCCTCTGATTTCTTCAGTCTCTCTTATATAACACACAACAACCGCTTTCGAAAAAATGAAAAGGAAGGGGTTTTGTTTATGTAAAGAGCGGAAGGAAAAAAGTTGGGAAATTTCTTTCGCGGAAGACGGAGAGTTTTATTCTTCCGAAGATGCCCCTACAGGTGACGCCCAATGTGACCTTGCTGCCGTTTTTCGGGGTCCCTATTTGGTAAAATGGGGTTGGTGGGCCAAGCGGGAGATGCAATTGGCCAATAAGGCATGGGCTTATAATTTTTGGATCTTTTACTTTACTTATTATCAAATAAGGATTTGAGAAACCAAAAAAAAAGTCAAAAAAAAGAATTTCGGGGTTATTGTATATTGGCGTAAGATCCACGCCACTATGCCACCAGGGTAAAGGTAGGTACCGTCACGTGAACAATTCTATTTCCTTCTTTTTCAAGTGTGAACGCACCCCTTAAAAAAAAGATAGGTGACCTCAGCATCCGCAATAAGTTTTTACATTAAGTATGTACCCAGGATTATTAATCAGACCAATAATTATGGATCAAAAAGATAAAACCAATGATAATAGATATATATATAACTCATAATCCAACGCAATAATGCGATAATTAGTACTAGTACAAGAGACTTGACCTGATGGTTTTTTTTTCCAGTGATATGACTTACGAGGGGACTTGACCAGATGTTGGCCCACTTAGTAGCATGGGTTTATGAAGTTTATGAATTTTTATAAGGATTTTCCTATCTTGTGTCCTTGGAACACATGATAAGGCACTAAATAAGGAAATAAATTTCCATAATTAATGAATATTATTTTCCTGGTGACTAAAATAATCCTTCTATAAACAATAATTGTGTTGTGTAATTAATTCAATACATAATCATGAAAGGTTATTTTAGTCACTAGAGGAATGATATTCATTAATTGTGGAGAATTCATTTCCTTATTTAGTGCATTATCATGTGCCCTTAAGGCACACAAGAGAGAAAAATCCTTTTTATAAATATTTTATTTTATTAAATTTAAAGCTGTGAAAAAAAAATGCATGAATTGTTATTTGGAACAGCAGAATGGGGCGGACCTTGAGGGAATCCGAATCCGAATCCGAATCCGGGCATTTTACAAATATGGGTTGGATAGAGAGAGAGACTTAAATTTGTATTGTCTAGGTCTGTTGATGTGTCTTAAAAGTGGCTGGCCTATGATACCGAAAGCAAATAAGAGAGAGACCTATAAATTCATATTGCTATTTGAATTTTGGTTTCCAGAAGGTCATAATGGAACGAGTCATAAGAGGCCAACTTTTTAAAATTTTCTACCGTCCCTTTTTTTTATTGGTATCTACACATATATTAAGAAATGCATTTAATAGGTATAAATTTGATAACTTTGCATTAGGTTAAGACTAAATTAGTTCTTATCTAAAAAAAGATGATAGAGATAATAAAAAAATCTAATATTATGAGGATAAGGCAAAATAGGAAAAAAATCATTTAATGCTCTTCAAATATTCTAAAACGACAATATTTTTAGGAGCGAAAATAAAAAAAGGACAGAGAGAGTATTTGTTATTTTGAACAGTTGTTTGTTAATCCTTTGTTAGTTTATTTGTTTTAGTAGAAGACATTTGCCGCCGACATGCCAATAAAGATAACACTGTTGTTGGATCAGAGTATTTTCGATGTGTATTTGTTGTGCTAGTTGAACTTGATGCACAGAGTGGTCCATGTTCAGCCAGTAATTAGTGATGGGTCTTTTCATTTATTCCTTCCACTTGTTGCACCAACAACACAAATTGCCTCGTCTAATTAATAACTAGTGCAACTATACGTGTTACACACGGGTTTGTGGCGCAAATGAATTAGATCGTGTTACACACGGGGTTTTTAAGCATTTCTGTCCTTTTCTCTTTTTCTATTTGGCTTAGAATAGTATCATTTTAAATTTCCGAATTCTTTGAGGCTATATTGTTTTTTTTTCCTTTTTCGTTTTGACATCGTTAAATTTTAAATTGTAGAATGTTAAAAAATTTTTAGTATATGATTATCTATATTATATATAAAAGCACGAAGACAGCGAAACAACCGAAAGTACGAAAATAACCTTACTTAGTATTATTATAAATTATAAAAAACAAAAACACATGTCATATAATAATGAATGACAAGTAATTTTTTTAAATTTATAATTATATAGCAGGAGCTAGAAAAATCAACAAATTAGTATAAATATCCTTATATTCAATACTAAAATTATTAAAAAAACAAAAGTTTACCGACTAAAAAAAATAATGCTGAAAAATAATAATCATAAAATGAAGAACTGCCGAAGAACTCACGGTTTATATTTTTTCAAGTAGTTTCTCTATATTTATAAAACGAAGAACTGCCGAAGAGTCAGCGAAAACTACTATAATAATGAATGACAAGTAATTTTTCTATATTTTTAATTCAATACTAAAATTATAAAAAAACAAAAGTTTACCGACTAAAAAAAATAATGCTGAAAAATAATAATCATAAAATGAAGAACTGCTGAAGAACTCACGGTTTATAATAATAATAATTATAAGAACTCACGGTTTATATTTTTCAAGTAGTTTCTCTATATTCATAAAACGAAGAACTGCCGAAGAGTCAGCGAAAACTACTATAATAATGAATGACAAGTAATTTTTCTATATTTATAATTATATAGCAGGAGCTAGAAAAATCAAAAAATTGGTATAGTTACCCTTATATTCAATACAAAAATTATAAAAAAAAAAAAAGTTTACCGACTAAAAAAAATAATGCTGAAAAATAATAATTATAAAACGAAGAACTGTCGAAGAACTCACGGTTTATAATAATAATCTATACTATATATAAAAACACGAAGTCATCAAAACCTGCGAAATTAAAATACTAAAATATCCTTATTTTTTTATTAAATTATTGGTTTAATAGTCATTTAAAAATTACTCTTAACAACTCATCGTAACTTAGTGTAGTCAATGTTTATATAAAAAAAAAAACAATGATAGAAATATTTATTTTATCCTATATGATCGACATATGAATTTTATTAACGGTCCATCACTAACACGCCCACTAATTTAACGTTTTTTCAGGACCATCTCATGTAATGTACATACATTATTATCTATTTTTAAAAAATATACATTATTATCTAATTAATTAAATAGTACGATATATATTTTAACCAATTAAAACTTATTCTAATGTTTTTGCTTCCTTCTTCTTTATATCAAGCACGAAGTCACCAAAACCTGCGAAATTAAAATACTAAAATACCCTTATTTTTTTATTAAATTAGTGGTTTAATAGTCATTTAAAAATTATTCTTAACAACTCATCGTAACTTAGTGTAGTCAATGTTTATATATAAAAAAAAACAATGATAGAAAAATTTATTTTATCCTATATGATCGACATATGAATTTTATTAATGGTCCATCACTAACACGCCCACTAATTTAACGTTTTTTCAGGACCATCTCATGTAACGTACATACATTATTATCTATTTTTAAAAAATATACATTATTATCTAATTAATTAAATAGTACGATATATGTAACAGCCCGGGTAAAATTTATGTTTTACCGGGACTGTAAAAGGATCCTGTGTAATAATTTAGCATATGGAAATAAACTTTGGTAATTATTCCATGGTAAACCGAGTAACGAATTCCGATTCCGAGTTTCACTCCATATCCCGGATATTTTCGCGGAATTTCCGTGACGAGTTGGAATTTCTGAGTTAGAAAAATGACGATTATACCCTTGAGTTCGTTAGGAAACCAAAGGAAATTGGAGGGGCACAATAGACTTTTTGCTGGAACAATTATTTCTCTTATTAAGTTGGGAGTGTGCATTATCACACCCACTATAGTAATACTAGTTATATATAAATGTAAAAAAAAGAGGTATAAACATAAAGACACACCACCGGCCACACGCCTCACCCGCCACCATCACCACCGTCCTCTTCTCCTCCACCACCGACACCACACACACGGACACCACCCAGCACAACCACTCGCTGCCGCCTCGCTCACTGCCGCCAGCACCAGTTCGTTCCTGCCGACGGACAACTGCAACCGTCACAGCAGAACACGCCGCCGCCTCCACTCCCAAGTAAAGCACCGGCGAATCCACCTCCTTGACGCGCCACCGCCCTGCAGCCTCGAGTCGTGTCGCCTGCCGTCACCTCGACCTCGCGGTGCCTCTTGCCGTCGTGTCGTCGCGCCGTCAGTCCAACCGTTTGCGCCGCCGACAGCAGGAACCCCGACGGCCACTTCTCCTCCTCTCTTCGCCGTAACCCGACGCCGCCCCAGGTCTTGCCGCCTTCCTCTTCGAGTCGTCCCCAGCTCGCCTGCACGCCACCCGCCGCCCTGTGTCTTCGCCGAGCCACCGTCGGCAGATCCAAGGTGAGTACCCGTTTTTGAAACGGGTAAAGAAGACAACCCGTATGAAGTGTTCACGGGTCGCGGGCGACCCGGTGTGGATGGGTATGGGTCGTGGGTTGGTATTTGAGGGTTGTGTGTGTGGGCTTGGCTTGGGTTTGGGCTAGTTAGAATAGGATTGGGCCGTGAGTTAAGTGGCTGGGCTGTTAGTTAGTGGGTTAGGACTTGGGCTTTGGGTTTTAGTTATGGGCTTAGGGTGAGATGGGCTAGGATGGTTGGGTGTAGGCTTTAGGCTTTGGACTTGGACCTTGGCCCAGTCCGAAATTAAAAAAAAGAGAGAGGAATAAACCTGAAAGAAAAAGAAAAATAATTATGGAAAAATAATAACTTTAGGAAAATAGAAGTAATTTGTGGAAATAATATTTTGAGGCATAATTTGGGAGAAAAAAATATTCTGGAGAAATAATTTTAGGAAAGTATATGTAAATGGTGTA